ACCCTTTAATGTGAGTCTCTTCCTTTTTTTTTTTTTTTTTTCGCACACATATGAAACATCAACACGCATCCAGCGACGACGAGTTGGGGAAAGGCACAACCAAAAGGGGAAGTGCACCTGAGAAGAGGAAAAAAGGATCTGACAAACAAGGAAAACAACTTCCCCCACATCACATCATAATAGAGAAAAAAAAAAGAAAAAAAGAAACTAGTATGAAGAAAAGAAACATTGCTGGTGTAGTACCTCTCCACGACGAAAGAAAGCGGCCATCGAGGAGTAACAGCGTAGGTTCAAAGGAAAACGAAAATGACGTCGCCCAGGGGAAGATGGGACAACCCGGCGGGGGCGCCAAAGCGAACAAAAAGGAAAAGGATAGCCGAGAGGACAAGCAAAGTACACAAGTCACACGTGAGAGACAAGACGCAAATGCCAAAGCACGCGTAAAGAACAAGGGGGAGAAAAACAAAAGGAGCCCTGACATGAAGAGCGCCTCCAAAAGCGCGAAGAAGGATTTGGATGATCCACCAGTGAAACGCGCTAAGGGAAGAATTGGCCAAAGGAAGAATCCAAAGGGAAAGAAGCCCCAAACGAAGCAGCATAAAGGAGGAGATGATCAAACGGAGCAACCAAGCATTGAAAAAAGAGAACACTCATCCAAAGGAATAAGATCCGCAAAAGACAAAGGGGAAGGAGAATCTCCGCCAGATGAAAGAAGCCTGATGCCCATTCAACCCAGCCAGCTAAACTTAGCTTCTTCGAAGAGGGATGAAGTAGGAGGGGGGAGGAATAACAGCACCATCATAGAAGTCACTCCGTCAGGAAGCATCGACCAAAGTCGCATAGAAATAAATGGCATACGCCTCGGGAGCGCTGATAGCTCTATTTTCCACCTGAGCCAAAGTGCAAAATGCGGGGACGAGCGGGAGTCCCACGGCCTCAGCGTCAGTCCCAGCACAAGTCGCGCTAGCAGTCGAGACGATAGTTTCTTTTTCACCCGCGCAATCAGTCAGGATGATAGTCCACATGTGAATCGCGCTGTCCGTTCAGAGGTTATTTTCCCGGATAGTCGAGGCGCCACTTCGCAAGCTGGCTACTTGGCAAGTCCCTCGCTAGTCCACACAAGTAGAAAAGAACGGGGCCATTCTATCAGCCATTCGGTCAGCCACTCGGTCGGCCGCTCAATTGCGCTCTCGGCCATCCACTCGATTGGACACTCTGCTAGCCACTCGGTTGGACACCCCATTAGCCCCTTAATTAGCCACTTAGGTACCGACGTAAATGAGCATAGACGTAGGCATGAAAGCGGACACTCGGTTAGCCACTCGGTTAGCCACTCGGTTGGACACTCCGTTGGACACTCGATCAGCCCCTTGGTCAGCCACTCGGTCAGCCACTCAGTTAGCCATTGCAGCAGCCCCTCAGTTAGTCGTCCAAGTGGTCTCTCAATAAGTCACGCGATTGGCAACCCAGTGAACCGCCTGAATGACCTCCCGATTGGACAACTCATCAGCCGCGTCAGGGGAGGACCCCCTCCTCCATCATCAAATTTCTACAGTAATGGCGGCATCAGCGGTGACGCTAGTTCCCAGGGACACAACCAACCCCGGGACACCTACGGAAAGAGCCTATTCAGCGAACTCACGGAGGCCATGCAAAACGATTCTACGCAGACAAATGAAAAGAGCAACATAAGCATTAGACTCAAGGCCGAGGAAGAGGAAGCGGAACTTCAAATCAGTATGAACGAAACGACTGTGCGTAAGTTGCGTATTCAAAAGGATAACTCTAAGAGGTCTATCGATTTGATTCATTTGTCGAAGGAGCTAAAGAGTATATCCAAGGACAGTGCCGAAATGGGAAAGGGCACCGAGGCAATGACCACATTGAGGAGCTCCAGGAAGGGGAGTAAGAAGGGGACTAATCTTCGCGTCAAAGCGAAGGGGAAAAGACCGACCACCCGTAGGGGAAGCGACATCGGAAGTGGTAGCGGAATTGGCAGTGGTATTCGCAGCGGTAATGGTCATGGCAAACGCAGTGGTGACTCCAACATTGTGCAGGGCAAGGCGAAGGTGAGAAAAAAGGATGCGGCGAGCCGTGGAAGGACAAAATTAATTGCCCCCCCAGTGGTGAAGAGGCCAAGCAGGAGGGGCAAGAGGGGCAGAATGGGCAAGGCGGTAGCGAAGATGGACCAGAAGGTGCCAAAAATGAAGTCAAAAAAGGAGGCAAAAAGGGAGGGCACAAAAGAGGATGGACAAAAAACCGATAAGACGACGAAGGAGAAAAGAAAGAAAATAGAGGAGTCGAACAAAATGAGCAGGGAGGCAGCGAACAAAATGAGCAGGGAGGCAGCGAACAAAATGAGCAGGGAGGCAGCTAACAAAGTGAGCAGGGAGACAGAAGACAAAATGAGCCAGAAGGCGGAAGACAAAATGAGCAGAGAGGCAGCAAACAAAATGAGCGCAGAAGAGGCGATTAAAATAAGCGTAGAGGAGGTGACCAAAATGAGCATAGAGGAGGTGACCGCCGCGAATGAAAACGAAGAATGGGAAGAGGAGAATGCGAATGAACAGGAGGCAGACCCGGGAGAAAAGTCAGACTTCGTGAAGGTGGAAGAGCCGGAAAAGGAGGAAAAGAAGGAAAACACGACAGAAAAGGGGACAGAAAAAATCTTAGAGACAACGGAAGACCCAGGAGAGGAAAGAACTCCAGAGGAAGGGGCCCAAAAGGAAGAAGCAAATGAACCACAAGTGACCTCTGCGAAGGAAGACGGACGTGCAAATGTCGCAGATGTCAAGGATGGACAGCACAAGGGAGAGGGAACAAAAAGGGTGGAAAATTGCCCAGAAAAGGAAGCTTTGGGGGAGAAATCAGACGATAAAGAAAAGGTAACAGCGAAGAAGATGAAACCCAGGAAAGGGGTGAAGGTACGGCAGAAGGAAAAGGAAGTTCGAGGGCATGCTGGGGATGAGAATGCGTCTGTTGTGGATGGGGGAGAAGCCAAGAGAGAAGCCGCTAAACGGTGTGTGGACCCAAGGGAGGAGAAATCATCAGTCCAGTTGTCCGTGGAGAAACGAACCATGAAATGTAAACACAGCAAGGTGGATAGCATCCTGCAGAGGTACGTGCACTTGCGGGAGGAAGAAGCCGCCGCGAAGAGGGAATCAATATGGGACGATGTCCCAGATGACTTGCTAAATGTAGAAGGAAGGAGATTCCGAATTGACGTCATTAATTTTGTAGGGAATATAAGAGCAGGGGAAGATTCCATCCATGAAGACATTCTGTTCTTCTTTGATTCATATGAAAATAAATTAAAAAAAAAAAAAAAAAAAAAAACCATCTATCCTTAATTAAGAGGCTATTCAAATGTGATCACTTTGAATTAGACGGCATCAGATTAGTTCTGCAGATTCTCGACAAAATTGCAACGAAGCTGATGAAGGAAATTAAGTTAGAGGAAATAGTGAGATGCTTCTCCTCCCAGGTGACACAGTTAACAAATGGGCATGCAGCTGGGAAGGAGACCTCTACTCAAGAGAAGAGGAGCAAAGCTGGAGGTGGCACCCATTCAGCATGGGACATCGATAGATTCGCATCGGATGAGAATCACCTCAACATGTACAGAAATAAATTATATCATATTATTTTCAGTCCGAGAAGAGGACAAGGTGTTAATCCTTCCACCCTCTACTTCATTCAACAGTGGAACAATAATGCCATGCTGATTATGCTGCGGGAAAAGTTGGAAGAGATTCAACGGAGGAAGACGTTGGCACTGAGGAGCTCCATGCCTCTGTCCTGCTTTAAATTGTTAAAGCGTAAAGTTATGTGCAACTTGATTAATCCCTGTTGCATGACTCCCCGTGACATGTGTGCTGAGGAGTTTTCCGTCCTCCTTCCACCGATCCCCTCGCGGCGAGCGCTGCGCAGTGAGGGGGGAGACTGCTTCGTGAAGGTCGGAGATGCGATTCGCGTGATGGCGTCCCAGTAGGAGGGTGAAAATTGGGGAAAGCTCCAATTTGCCCGATTTGCCCGATTTGACCAATTTGACCAATTTGACCAATTTGCCCTATTTGCCCCGTTTTACCGCATTTTTCCTTTTTGCTTGGTGCCTGGGGCAGTCACCGCGTCGCCAACAGTTGTACCTCTCTCCAAGGCGCTTCCCCGTCTGTGTCTTTTTTTGCAAGAAGACTAGCAGCGGATGAACCATTTAAAGGGTAGAAACCGATTGTGGAGTCTCCACTCCTTCCAGTGAATTATTAGCCAAATGAGGGAAAGATCAATATCAGGGTAAGGGAGTTCAAATATGAAGGGTAAGAAAAAAAAAAAAGGGGGGGCCGTCGTAAACTATCACCACTAGGATGGGCACTTCAGGTGGGAAGCCCTTTTCGCACACGCAAATGGTTACACAAGGGAGAAGCATAT